CACCGAAAAGAACCACCAAGCGGCTCGGAAAAACCTTAGCTCAATTGGTGGGGATTTACAGTAAATCCAATTAGTCATTTCTGGAAGATTATCAGAATTCTTTTTACGGAAGTTGTTCCATGCCATTTGAACAACAGCCGGAAGTTCAATACCCTTGAGGAGTCGCGACTTTGCCACTTTACTTATAGTGACATTTGCGGGTGAAGCAGCAGTAGAGGTTGGATCTGATACAAGGAGAGAAGAAATCAAACTGTCAATACAAATAGTTTTTTGAAAGCCTGAAAACAATTTATTTTTAAATAAATCAAGTATATGTAATTTAAGGGAAGTTCATTTTAGCTCATCACACAGAATAAATCATGTGTGCAGTTATCCAGAATAACAAAAAAATAATACCACAAGCTCCTAAAAGTCAATGAAAGTAAACACAAACCTAATGTATCTGGAGTAATCAATGAGGTTATTGGGTCCAGCCAATCTTTTGCGTCAATAATTGCTCCACTTATCCGTGCAATCATGGAGGAAAAAACGGAAACCCAGTCATCCCATTGAATGTCAAGGGAGACGGACTTTAGTTCCTTTATTAATTCTGTAGATATCGGAATTCTTTGGCACCAATGGTTCATGGATGGATCCAAATGAATAATTTGTCCAGAAGAAAGTCGATTAAGTATGGCCTGCTTTTTTGCGCAAGTCTAAAAATTTAAAGCAAAGAACCGAAATTGGTCATTATTTGGACATTTTTATCCAATAGAAATTAATATTATAGATGCTTTAACTCTTTTAATTGTTTTGTAGAAATGCAATAACATGAAGAACTTCCTATGTGGTTGGAGTAACATATATTAAATGACAGCGTTTTAGATGAAACCTTCCAGCAATTATCATATTTGTTTTATTTATCAATATTTATTGTTTAAAATAATAGGACTTTATTTTATTTATGTGTACACCGAATATGATCGGTTACGAGGGTCAAAAGCTTGATGAAACGAACGTCTCCTCATCCATATACCTCGGCAATGACAGCAGTTTTTAAGCAGTACAGGTTCCATGTAGCTTTATTACGACTACGTTACTTCGAAGCAGAATTTGGAGGGAAAAGAAATGAAATGCACACATACGGTGCCTTCAAGCAGCAATGATTTACTAGACCAGATTGACTTCTATCAATACGTTATTAGATTTTCAAGGTGACAGTAATTACAAGTTGCTTAGCACTAAAATCGTTTCCTGAATGAAGCTATTTTTGAGAACACGGATATTTCCGGGCCTTGAATAGATGGACTTTGGAAATTCCAGCACCCTGCTAGAACGCAAAACGGTCACCGTTGTAGTGACTATGAATTAAAATTGTAAATTCTGCTTCAGTCATTTTTCAGTTTTCTGTTTTGAAAGTAGAGAGCATGGTACCCATGCAGTCGCAACACCATTAAGTCGACTTTTTTAATGTTAAACCTTCATTTTGTTTCAGTGAAAATTATCACGAGTTCACATAAAACAACAAAACTAGCACAATTTTGGTAAGTTTCCACATACACTTATTCTCTCTAAAGTTCACATAACTGGTCCATATAAACCCTCTAGATCTTGCTCTATAGTCTATAATCTACTTCCTTAATGCTCACCAAAAACAGTGAAATAAGGAAAATTATTTTGGATACAATATTACTAGCTTTTTCGTCCTTTATCCCGAACCGGGATCTACAAGTCCTGCTAGATCCCGGGTTCACCAGACAATTTTAAATTCTGGAATGAAAAAGCGGAGAATCCTCACGTTGAAGCCTTTACTCTAAATAAGCTAGACAATTGTTTACCGCCTTTTCAAAAGGAAATCGTCTATCTGGATTGCGAAAGTTTAGACATAAAGGCTTGCTAAAGAGAGAAAAATAAACGAAACCCGTAACAAACCAGCTAAATGAGATTCATCCACTTACCACTCGCATGTGGTATGAGTCAACCCAAGCAATCGGTGAATCCCAATAACAGCGTAGTCGCATCGGTGCGTAGTCCTGCAAAAATTAGATGCCAAAACGTTTTTTACCTCTGCATAGGCGATCTCGAATTGAAGTGACGAGTTCCTCGATAAAAAGTTGTACTTTGAAAAAAATGCTTCTTCCTTTTTGAATGCAAATAAATTGAGTCTTAAACACTCACTGTCCCAGAAGAAATAATACCAAGGTTCACTTCACTTTTCACATTTCGGAGTGATAAATGTAGGACTAAACAAAATGCAAGCAATCTGGTACCCATGTCGCGACAACTACGATGGGATTCCAAAAGTCCTCTAATATAAAAGTGACCTTCAGACAAGGTCATTAGTGAGCAAAACAAACAGAAGAGGTAGAACGAAATAATTAATCCATCCTTTTTCCTCGGCTGAACAACTATGAGATGGAACGTTCAAAATCACTCCAGATTATATCCGAGGTTCCGGGACCATTGGGTTCCAGCCTCGAACACGACAGCTCAGTTTATTGGCTCTTGCCAATCGCAAATCCAATTCCTTATATTGTTGGCGGTTTCCTGGATTTCGAACACCTTGAGTCAATAATGTTTTGAAATTCAGTTCAGTTCAGTTCTCACGGGGCGATTTCTGGCACTTGCCAGTCGAGCGTCCAGATTCGTGTGTAGATAGGGAGTTTTCTTGGCTTGAGGCCTAAAAGTAGTACTCGGGCTCGACGATTACGCCCAATATTCCCGGATCTGCATTTGTCTTCTTTTCGGCAGTTCAAGGCACGAGCTGAAAGGGATATTGACGTAAAAGGAACCTGGGTAATGCGGCCCCATAAGTTCGCTGTTTACATGTTTTCATAGGTATTTGTTCGTAGTCCAGCGCACTAATATTTTAATTGTGACTATATTGGACTAGCAAATTTGCTCTTGTCCCATTCTTAGTGTTCCCGTGGAATCTGAATAGTCACGATACCTGTTCCTCCCCACATAGTAAGCATTATCCGTCCCAGTTTTATATTTTTCTAGTATATTTTTTTTTGTTATGTATTTAGAGCTTTTCGAGTCCACCGACGAGGACACTTTTCCCGTGCGGAAACCCACATGCCACATGAAGTCTCCGAAACAGGCAACTGGGCCAGCACCCAAATAACCCTAGAAGCGAAAATAGTTACCCTTAACTTCAAGGTTCGATAATTCGTGAGCTGCGAAGGATATTCGCGGCACTAGATAAAGTCATAGTTCAGCTGGCAGGACTATTTAAGGATAACTTCCCAATATGTGCGGCCGCAGATCAGACAACCACCTTTTCGAAACAACACATATTTGACACTACAGTCAAACTAGAATCAGCGACCCTTGGTGCCAAGCGGATTATAATCTGGGGTAGTTTCTTCAAATTCAATTCTCCAGCTCAGAAAACCAAAACCCTCCTGAATAGCTTTACGGCTCCATCTGTACCCAGAACAAACGGAGCATCGTGCCTGATGTCCAATCTAAGAAGACGAAGATGGGCTTACTCATCACCAATTCAAAGTGAGCAGTAGCAGATGCTCTCGCCCAAATCGAGACTCTGAATAGGACGTGTACCTGACCCGAGGAGTTTCCCCAGACACGCCACTGCTTGCCCGAACTCAGCGGAAGGCAGCCCTCAGAAGTAACAAGGGTGTCAGCGACCCCAAACTTCCCTGTCTGCCAGTAATACCCCTCTCACGAGCAGACCACCACCAAAAATTTCTTCACATCTCAAGATAAAAAATCTTCCAGGGCCTAATCACATCCCCTGCAGCGGATCACTACAACCCCACTACCATAAACGCTAACCGCAGGAAGCCGCCTAATCCAAAGCCGCACAGGAACTGGTTACTCGGCCATTCGCCCGTATTGCTCTTTCCTGCCATTTTATTAGCACCACAGTCGCCATTTCTCCGTAACGCAGATCCCTGCGAGCAACAAGGAGATTTCGCACACTCCCA